TAATGACAGTTTAACTTCTTCCTTTCCTATCTTTATTCCTTTTATTTCTTTCTCTTGTCTAATTGCTGTGGCTAATGTTTCCAAAATTATATTGAACAGGAGTGGTGATAGTGGACATCCTTGTCTTGTTCCTGATTTTAGCATGAAGTTTTTGACCATTTAGTATGATGTTGGCTGTTGGTTTTTCATAGATAGCCATTATCAAGTTGAGATAAAGACCCTCTATTCCAATTTTTTGCAGGGTTTTATCATGAATGGGTGTTGAATTTTGCCAAATGCTGTTTCTGCATCTATTGAGATGATCATATGGTTTTTGTCCTTGTCTCTGTTTATACAGTGTATTACATTTATTGATTTATGTATGTTGAACCATCCTTGCATCCCTGGGATAAATCTGACTTGGTCATGGTGTATGATCTTCTTGATGACCCTCTGTATGCTGCGTGCCAGTATCGTATTGAGGATTTTTACATCTATGTTCATTGGGAGATTGGCCTGTAGTTCTCCGTTTTGGTTGGATCTTTCCCTGGTTTTGGAATCAAAGTAACACTTGCTTCCAGAAATGAATTTGGGAGTATTGTTTCCCTTTCAATTTCATTGAAAAGTTTAAGGAGTATTGGCAATAGTTCTTCTCTAAATGTCTTGTAGAATTCGGCAGTGAAGCCATCAGGACCTGGCCTTTTCTTTGTTGGTAAATTTTTAATTATGTTTTCAGTTTCACTGATTGTAATTGATGTGTTTAGAATTTTTATGTCTTTTTTGTTCAACTTTGGTAATTCATATGTATCTAAAAATCTGTCCATTTCTTCTGTGTTTTCCACTTTATTAGAGTACAGGTTCTCAAAGTAGGTATTGATGATCCTCTGGATTTCTGCTGAATCTTTTATGATTTCACCTTTTTCATTCCTAATTGCACGGATTTGAGACTTTTCTTTCCTTTTTTTGATAAGGTTCACTAAGGGTTTATTGATTTTATTTATTCTTTCAAAAACCAACTCTTCAATTCGTTGATTTTTTTGTATCATTCTCTTAGTCTCCATTGCATGGATTTCTGCTCTGATCTTTATAATTTCCTGCCTGGTATGAGGTTTGGGTTTGTCTTGCTCTTCTTTTCCTAGAAGCTTAAGTTTCACCATTATTTTGTTTATTTGAGCTTGTTCTGTTTTCCTAGTGTGGGCATTAACTGCTATGAATTTCCCTCATAGAACTGCTTTCATTGTGTTCCACAGATTCCTGTATGTTGTATTGGCATTATCATTTAATTGCAAAAACTGTCTAATTTCTTTTTTAATTTCCTCTGTGACCCATTGGTTGTTCAGGAGAGTGTTAGTGTTATTCAATTTCCATGTGTTTGTGAAATTCTTGCAGTTTCATATGCTATTGATCTCCAGTTTAATTGCACTATGGTCTGATAATATACAGGGAATAACTTCAATTCCTTTGCATTTACTGAAACCTGTTCTATGAATTACTATGTGGTCTGTTTTTAGAGAATGACCCCTGTGCAGCTGAAAAAAATATATATTCTGATTTTGTGGGGTGGAACACTGTAGATGTCTA